CGCGTTCGAAATCCGCGACAAAAGAAAATGCATTTTAAGTGAATTTCCTGTGCGCAGAAGGCAATTACGCATCTGATAACCCCACTGTAAAAAGAAAACCCCGTGCCAGATCCCCATCCCAACGTATCTGCGATGGCCACCACACCTACGGCTGGAACAGCAGCTCCATCGACCTCAACGCCACAGAACTACAAGGTGCCATCGACCAGCAAGATATCCGTGGACAAGCTCCTGCGAGTCGGCTACTATGAGCTGGAGAAGACCATCGGCAAGGGCAACTTTGCCGTGGTCAAGCTGGCCACCAATATCGTGACCAAGACAAAGGTGAGTTCCCAAAAGAATCCTCCTCTTCAACAAGTCCCGATTCCCTCAATTAACGACCCGATAACTACTTAGTCATAACTGACTAATCGAGTGTTTGTCTTGGCAATTGACAGCAGACGGTTATAAGATTTATTATATCTTGTGTATGTGTGCTTAAGTACAACTAATATACATATAATTGACTAAAAAAATCTGTAAAGCTTAGGTTATTTTGGAGTTTAAAACATTTTCAAATGAGATCCTTTAAACCTATTGATTTGAGGTCCCAGCCTAAACTAAGGTACCTTAGATTATTTTGTTGTTTTTTCTAAAATATTCTCAATATTATGTGAAGCAAGGGAGAACGCTGTTGTCGAGGGCCTCGGCCAAATGAGTGCGAGAAAAATAGAGATATGCCAGAAAAGCTACTGCTTGAAATCGCGCCATCTAGCGGAGAAATCATTATTTGCTCATAACTTTTTAATAAATGGTTCAAATAAGATTTACTTTTTTCACTTTTTTTTTAAATTTTTTAAGGGGTTACCGTTATGCTTATAGTTCTAAAGCAGACGATTTCTCGTCACTGAAAGGCACATGTAAATTGAATGTTTTTCAATCAACCAGTTCATGTTCTTCCACGATTTTTTGCGCATTTGAGTTGATCAAATTGATTTTAGTTGTTGTTCCTTGATGATTCTGTTTATTGCCGCGTAAATATGTGTACAATAATTATTTACACAACTTATTGACAATCAGGAGTTTCGTTTCGTTTCGATTTCGGCATTTCGGTCTTTCTGTTTCGGTTTCGGTTGCTTGGCTTTTTATTTGCTTTCAATTGACGATGTTAGGGGAAGGGGAATGGGAATCCGGAGGTGAGAATCGACAGATGCTAATTGAATCGCATTTGTAAAGCGCCTTTAAAAGTGTGAGTTTTTGCCATCTCCCTCATTGATTACCTTACTCCCGTGTGTGTATGTGTGTGTGAACCTTTTGAGGAAGTAATTGAAATCTGCCTTTTGTTTTTTGATGACATTTGCATTTACAAATCTGTTTTTGCTTTTTTTCCCCCTTTGAGAATTTCCTGCTATAAAGTCAACTCAAGTTGATGAGCTGGGTAAATTTCAATTAGGCGCCATTTCTCTTGGCCAATATACTATAGAAGTTACTTGGAGCAAGTAACAGATTGACTCACCTGCATCTTTATATCATTTTTATCAGTGTTTGTGGGTGGGAACGTCCGATGAAGTGCTGACACAACAGCAACAGCTGTGACACTTGATAATTGGGATTGTCAAGAGAAATACTCACACATGGCGGCTACAGTAACAGCAATAAAAACAGAACTTTAATCACTTAACGTAACAGAGCGAGGGAGGAACAAATAGAGAAAGATTGAAAAGGGGAAAAGAATGACAATTTTTAGAGCAAACAATCGAAATCAATTTTTGCATAATTGACTGCGTTGCGGAATCTGGGATGAGCACGTGCCTCTGTCGAAATCAATATTAATAATTATCGCCGGATGTGACATGATTGAAAAGAAATGATTTTACTAGTTGTAGTTCAATAATAAGAAGTCCATATAAAAATAATAAAATATTTAAAAACTTCTTATATCCACTATTTCTTAAAGCATATTTTCTTCTTTAATATTTTAAAGTACGATATTATGGCTTTTTAATAAAAAAAGTTTTTATAAATTAAACAGATTTATTTCATAAATATTCCGTCTATCACGTCGTTTTTCCCATAAAAAAAACTTTCCAATGTCTACTTTTGAAACAATTAAACCTGTCGGTCAGTAGCATTTAAAAGGAGATAAGCCAATCGAATCAGCTTCCCTCGTTCACGAGAATTGTTTGTTGACTGTAACGAAATTAAGTTGCCCTTGATAAGAACACAGCTGTTCGACAACTTCAAGGTCCAACGGTGCTTACTTATCTTATTTTTGCATTTCCTATCCAATATACAAACATATGTATGTATTCGGTCTAAATGTGTATGCTAGTAAACCATGTACAATGTTCATACGTCTATAGCCTTATAGCTCGTCGCTTATCTCCCTTAAGCGCATTTGCCAATAATTCACTATTATCAATGGAAAATGGCAAAAAGTTCACTTGTACACACAAATTTGTACCTAAATACATACTCACCTAAGTAAATAACTTGAATTATGATTATTTGTATAAACCCAGAGAACAGCAGAACCGAACCGCTGATAAGAAAATGTGCGATATGTACTTCGAGCAAAGTATCTGGAAACTAACCATAACCTAGTTTAATTGATTTCTCCAGAGTAAATCTAGGAATAATAAAATTTAAATACTTTATCAGTGTTAAGCCCACATAAAAAAACACAATAATTGATTTATTTCTTTGTTTAAAGTCAGACGCTCTCTTGATCGCTTTCACGTGTCGTTTTAAATTGAATTTCAGTTCACTTTTTTTATGTGGAATGTGTTTGCACTCAATTGGCAACTTTTAGTTTAATTAAATTTTTTCGCGGTTGCCTTGGCAACTGTTTTAATGCTCCAATTGATGCAATTAAGCAGCAGCCATGCAGCGCAGCCACTTTATATTTCGCTCGTATTTTCCACAAAGAGAAAACCGAGGCATTTATTGTTTTAAAAATATAGTTGTGTTAAAAATGATCTAATATGTTTTAAAACTGTGGTGGGGCGAAGCAGACCCCCGAAAGGTTAAGGATTTTAAAGGGGCGAACCCTTCACCGAGGGGCATAACCCAACATCCATTTTAAGCTAATATGTAGTTCGAAAATCCATAATTTTGATACCCAAAACCACATGATTTCTAGACTTGGTAAATATATTTGGATTTTCTTATGTCGTTTTTGGTTAAGAACCATATTTTCGGTCCAACCTCCTTATGAAGGGGTTTTCACCTCTAGAGATTTTAAAACTTTTATGTTTAAATTTTGGTTTTTTGACTCCAAAACACTGAAGACTCCATAATTTCAAATCGCTAAGATATATTTGAAGTCCAGGAGCATAATACATTTTCTACAGATTAAAGTCAACATTTCTCTACGTGCAGCCCTACGCTCTGCCCGTCTCTTTCTGGCACTCTCTACCCGTCCCGCTCACATTTGTTGATTGATCTTTCGCTATGGGCAAATATTTAAGCTGCCGTCTGAGCGTTGCCTTTTGGCCAGCAGACCGAAAACATGTTTGAACATCTAACACGCGTCAGACCGAAACCAACGGGTGGAAGCGGGATGGAGATAGTGGGGGAGCGAGATGGGTAGATGCAATCGTTTAACAATTTTTATTTACCTTTTCATTAACAATTTCGCGGCTTTTTGCTGCTCGCTTTTTGTTGTCTGCGGTTTTAAAAAAAATTTCGTGTGTGTTTACAAAACCCACAAAATCATGCGCACTAAATCTAAGGTCGTCGTTATTCTTTTCTTTACTATTTCCCAGTTCTCATTTATCTGAATGTGATAGTAGTAAAAATATGTTGGTTCCCTTCCTCTTTTTGTAGCGAACACATACATTGTACATTGGCATTCCAACGATAACTGAGAACGTTATCAAGTGGTTTTGGGTTCTTCTGCTGATTCTTCCTCTGCGATTCTTTATCATCGCAAGAAAAGTAAATTCGCAAATCAGTCACGTGCGTTTGCCATCTCGCTCTAACTCGCACGCCCACACACCACAGTAAAGTGGGTGGCGGTAGGAGGTGAACGGATGGTTCGGTGAGGGTGCGAGTGCGAGTGCGACGGGGACAGAAGACAAACAACACGCGCCATGTTAATGCTCCCTGCTAGCTTCACTCTTCAGTCTCGCAGGGCATTCGACTGTTTAGCTTTTGATTTGACTTTTCAGGCGATAGCAAAACAAATAATAAATCAACATATACTCGAGTGTTTCCTCCGCATAAGCAGTCAAACCTCCATACCATGAACTTTTATAAGTTTTACCTAAGATCCAACACGAAGGAACACTCTAATCGATTATACTAATGAACTAACAAACTCTCGATATAAATATGAACGCTTTAATTCCAAACGCGACATCTGTGGGAATTATCATAAATATAATATAATATGTTATATGAATGAAACCTTTGAAAAACTGTCTTGCGGTATTGAAATAAGAAATTGTAATTTTCCAAATTGTAAACAACATATAAAATGTATAAAAATCTTACAAATCTATCATCACTTGTATTTTTGCTGAACAATTTACTAAAACTGTTGGGAAAAATTAAAGATTGATTTTTCAAAATTTTAAGTAATTTGATTTACATTTAAGTTTCGATTAACGAAGGTCTACTGTATTTCCTTACAAATTTTTTCGCGGTAGCCCTTTGAAACCTGATTAGCGCGCCAAACTTTTGATCGCCTCTTGAGGTCGTTGTTAGTATGTGGATTTTCCCCTGTCTGCAAGTGGTACTGATTAGAAATTAGTTAGCCACAAAAGTGGTCTCCATCCCCTACTTCAAGTGGCCCATTTCCATGGGCAATTAAGTAGGCCATGACACGGAAAGTGTAATTGTAGCAATCGATTTTCCATTTCCACTAAAAGTAGCCGCCACCGGTTGGAAAATTTTAAAATCCAGCCAAGCCGAATAAAGTTTACTGACCCCGCGAGAAGACGAATAGGTGCTGCAGCAGCCACGAAAAGGAGAAAGGGAATGGTGAAAGAGAAGGAGGTCGCATATCGATTAAACACGCGGAAAGAGGGGGTGGGTGAGTGCGCTGGCAACACGTTTGATTACCGCGTGTAAATAACAACAACACGAACACTGCAAAAGTTGCAAGGACTCTTTCGTTGGCCGTTGTGCAACGATCACATGTTACAGAAGCCCCATGGAAAATCCAAAGGCCGAAGAACCGAAGCCATCGGCTCCAAAAGCCCAGGCACCCGAGAAACCCCTTCGCAAGAGGAATCAAGTCAAAATCCAAACCAAAATCAGGACTCCGAAGCCAACTCCCACCGCCATACTTTGCGAACTGACACGTTTAAAGGCCCAGCAAAAATATCTCGAATGTCATCAAGTCAAGCTGAACCCCAATAATTTCACACTCCAAAATGATGAGGTTGAGGATACAGATCCAAAGTCAGATGGTGAAGGAAAACCCGCATTGGAAAGCCCGGAAACAGGACGAAATCCTCGTCCCACTAGCTCTTCCACTGCCGACCTTATAAGCCTGATTAACGAAATCGAACAGGAGAAACTGGTGCTAAATGAAAAGCTACTGCAATACCGCAACGCCAAGCGAGGAGAACTTCAGGACATGTGGCACTTTGTGGCCACCATTAAGGAGGACGTCTTTCGGCCCGAACGTCTTAGCCAATATACAGTAAATGCTCTGAGGGAAAAAATCGTTGGCGTAAATTCCCAATTGTATCGATTGGCCGATCAAAACTCCAAGGAACTTGAAGAGTTGAAGGAGCAGTACGAAAAATTGGAACGGGAGAATAAGCTATTATGGAAAAGTGGCATATAGGTTAAAAGATAAGAACAATTGGATGGTGATGTTGGAAGTTAGTGGTATTCATATAGAAATAATTTAAAGCTTAAAAATAAGACAAAAAATTTAATAAGGTAAAACGATTAATTTTTTTTAACATTACTTGCAAACTTACAAAATGTCAAATGTCAAATGTCATACTTACAAAAATGTCATATAAATGTAATCAAAAAAGTAAATAAAAACCTTCAAAAAATATATATTACTTTTTAAAGGTGTCCCAAGTCAATTTAAGTTAAAATAATCATTAGGACCGCTAGTTCCACAAAGGAATTACACAAGAAATCGCTTTCTACATAAAGAAGACATTTAGATGGCTATGAATTACGATTTGCTGGGAAATATTTTTGAAATTCTTGACATTGTTTCAGGGGTCTTGTTTAATGGCCGACACTCGTAATCAACAACATTTTAGACCTTGCCTTGAGCTTGCCTTTTAAATCAATAGGACCTTTTGATACGATTCTTTTTGCCTTCGGCTGAAGGATTCCTAAAAGGAGGCGACATTGGTATTTTTTGCTATGACTGCTGTTATACATAGTTGTTGGTATTTCTGGTTGCGATTATTTTGAAATGTCTCATTTGCGAGCAGGGCCTGAGGTTCATCGCATTCGCCGGCGACCAAAGGAAAGGTCAAACGGCACGTGGCAATGGCATTTCTGTTTTCCCCTTTCCCTTCCCCTCCTTTTATTTTACCATTTATTCCGTTGTACGCTGAAGTTCAAGCCGCTCACGTGGCATTGGCGATTTCTAGGGCGTAAAATCAGTGCAGAATCAGCTTTTGTTTCATGCAATTATGTAAAAGTGTCAAACTCATCTCATTTTCGCCGGCCGCTATCTCTTTCGCTCAACAGACATTACGCATACGCCGCATTGCCCGGCAGTGAAAACATTTTTTGTGTCTTTATTATAAACAAATAGTTTGCATTGCACACTTGTGCCTCAAGTTCAAAGTCTCTCACGGCGGAATTAATATAAATTGTGATAGAATTTTATTTATTTCATGGCGTGTGATTGAAGAATCAGAGAATTGAATGCCTTGATTTTCAAAAGAGAATATTCTTTAAAAAAATAAAAATAGGTATATAACAAAAAAATGACTCGGAAGCAGAACAAATTAACTTAAACATTGAACAAATAATAACAAAAATGTTTAAGAAACCCGGTGCCGATGCTCATTGTCGTCGAGCGAGACAGAGAGAGAGACAGCTGCAGCTCAAGAAAGAGAGACAGGGCGACTGAGTGAGTGTACGCTTACTTGTGTTGTTAATTATTTAACATTGTGTTAAATTTTTTAAATGTTTTGCGAATACAGAAAAAGCAAATAAACAGTCAGCGGCGGCTGCGAACGAAAGTCGTGAGCAAAGAATGTTTTTGTCTTGTCTCCCTTGACCGCCATCGCCCCCGCGCCCCTTCTTCTCCCTCCCCTGCCAGTCTGCTCACCCTTCCGCCCCGAAATCATCATCATTTGTCCGTATCGCGTATTCACATATCCGTAGAGATCCCGAGATCCGAACACGCGCACCATGTATGGCGCTGTCATCGTGTGTTACTGCTGTTCATGTTACTGCCGTCGATGTTGCTGCTGTTGGTGTTGCTGCTGCAGACTATGCGCCACCAAACCACCCACATAGTGCCCTGGCAACAGCAACGCATACAGTGGCTTATTACGGATAATCTAAAAACTATAAAAAAAATGTTAAATAAAAATAAATAAACATGAAATAAAACTACTATTCTTCCGAAACCATAATTGTATTATATTTAAATGTTCCTATCAATAATATAATATAATATGGATATAAAATTAAAATAAATTTACATTAAATTTAAAACTAAATAAATTCTCACTATTAAAAAAAAAACTTCCGAAACCATAATTGTATTATATTTAAATATTCTTATCAATAACTGACATTTGCTTTTGTACCACTGTGTTGGTAGCCATGCGAGACACGCTTTTTTTTTTGGTTTCCAACCCACACAGCTTGAATTTCGGGGCTCTCTCTGACTCTCTCACATTTTGAGATCTCATTTCTCCTTTTTTTTCTCGCTCCGCTGCAAACGTTCGTTCACCTGGGTCCAAACAAACCAGACGACAAAGACGAAACGACAAACAATCGGACTGAGAATAATGAAATGTTTTGGTTTGCGTTCTTGGCTAAATGCGTTTCCCTGTTTGCTCTCGAAATCTCTTGCAGGTGGCCATCAAGATCATAGACAAGACATGTCTGAACGAGGAGTACCTGAGCAAGACGTTCCGCGAGATCTCCATCCTGAAGTCGCTGCGTCATCCGCACATCACCCGGTTGTACGAGGTGATGGAGTCCCAGTCGATGATCTACCTGGTGACCGAGTACGCGCCCAATGGGGAGATCTTCGACCACCTGGTGGCCAATGGCCGGATGAAGGAACCGGAGGCGGCACGCGTCTTCACCCAACTCGTCTCGGCCGTCCACTACTGCCACCTGAGGGGGGTGGTGCATCGCGATCTCAAGGCCGAGAATGTCCTGCTCGACAAGGACATGAATATCAAGGTGAGATATGATATTTATTTTTATTTATTTATTTATTTATTTTATTTATTTTATTTATTTTATTTATTTTATTTATTTTATTTATTTTATTTATTTTATTTATTTTATTTATTTTATTTATTTTATTTATTTTATTTATTTTATTTATTTTATTTATTTTATTTATTTTATTTATTTTATTTATTTTATTTATTTTATTTATTTTATTTATTTTATTTATTTTATTTATTTTATTTATTTTATTTATTTTATTTATTTTATTTATTTTATTTATTTTATTTATTTTATTTATTTTATTTATTTTATTTATTTTATTTATTTTATTTATTTTATTTATTTTATTTATTTTATTTATTTTATTTATTTTATTTATTTTATTTATTTTATTTATTTTATTTATTTTATTTATTTTATTTATTTTATTTATTTTATTTATTTTTTTATTATTTTTATTTATTTTATTTATTTTATTTATTTTATTTATTTTATTTATTTTATTTATTTTATTTAGTTTGTTTAGTTTATTTATTTTATTTTTTTAATTTATTTATTTTATTTATTCTGTATATGAAATGGATTTGCTGACATTTCTTATTTTTTCTTGCAGCTTGCAGACTTCGGCTTTAGTAATCACTACGAAGAGGGAGCCACTCTAAGGACCTGGTGCGGATCACCGCCTTATGCCGCCCCAGAGGTTTTCCAGGGCTTGGAGTACGATGGTCCCAAGTCAGATATCTGGAGTTTGGGCGTTGTGCTGTACGCCTTGGTCTGCGGAGCATTGCCCTTTGATGGCAAGACCATACTGGAGCTGAAAAGTCGCGTGGTGTTGGGCAAATTCCGCATTCCCTTCTTTATGTCGCAGGGTAAGCTTACCATGAAGATCGATTAAACTGTATATTTACTAATAATTTTGTATATTACTCAGAATGCGAGCAACTAATCCGAAACATGTTGGTTGTGGAGCCCGACCGACGATACACCGTCAAACAGATCATAAAGCACCGCTGGCTGAGCGAGTGGCAATCGGAGATGCTGGAGGAAGAGCGCTTCGAGGCCATGACGTCCTTTGCACCCGGTTCGGGAACGGTCTCCAAGTCGGCGTCCACATCATCGCTGGGCAGCGTGGCGGACTCACCGCCGCAGCTGGACTCCGTGGTGATGACGCACATGCTGCAGCTGCCCGGCCTGACCGCCGACATGATCGCCCAGTCGGTGCACGAGCAGCGATTCGACAACATCTACGCCATCTACAACCTGCTGCAGGACAAGCTGCAGCAGAAGCGTCGCGAAAACCAAAGACTGCAGCACCACGCCAGCCTGGCCTACTCCCGATCCCGCAAGACGAGCATCACGACGGGCGTGGTGGATCGCTCGGAGCTCGTGAAGCAGGAATCTCTGGATCGACTCAGTCCGCTGAGCAATGCCAATGCCTCGAGTTCGGCTTTGGGCTACGGGTGGTCCGATGTAGCCGTGGATCTGGAGAAGTATGGTGACTTTGAGCTCGAGTGTCTGGCTCGATCGAATGAGGTAGGAATGGCAGTAACCTAAAGCTTTCCAGATACTCCTTTATTAATGAATCACACTTGTTTTTTAGCCCCCTGCTAATTCGCAGCACTTGAGCGCACAGGCTGGTGGCGGCGTCAACGGGGCAAATACGCGACGCCATACAGTGGGACCTGGAGATGTGGCCCACGAGCAGGCGCTGGCCAATCCCCATGTGCCACCCATTGACTTCAAGTGCCCGCCGCAAGGCAGCGATCCATACTACCCCGTTAATCTGCCCATGCTGCAGAATCAACCCCTGCAAAATCTCACCATCAAGGACCAGCATCTGCTCAAGCCGCCCGTTGTTATGGGAGCCAGTAAGTATTGACCATATGGGCGAAGTTTTAATTTCTCTAATCCTTTTAAATGTCATTTCTCTAGGCTCATTTGGACGTCGTGCCTCGGATGGCGGGGCGAATCTTCACATCTATTATCCCGCCACGGGCACTGTTGTAATTCCAGCTCAGGGTCAGCAAATGGATACAGCCGGATACTTTATCAATCCCAATTGTGGCACTGATCCCCTGGCCGTGCAGGAGTTGTCGCCGCTCAACGAACAGGCAGCCGGGCAGATGCAGTACGGCCAGGAGAATGCCACCGGCGAATGCAACGAGGAGCTGCAGAGGTTCACTTGGATTGTATATTATTTTTAAGGCTTTGTTAACAATGATTTCTCTTGTAGTTATATGCAGAAGCGGGGATTCACCCAGCGTCACACTGTGGGATGTACGGAGGATCTGTCCGTGACACATGGACCCGGACCCGGATCGCAATCCCAGGCGCCAACTACCTCCTCCAACATGCGGCAGCGTCGAACTGGTCTGCTCACGGTCACCGAAAGGCCGCCAGGTGCGTTAAAGTGGCTACCTAGGAAACTTAAAATGAGTCCTTATACATTTTAAAAACAC